ATAATATGACAGCTGATGTAGATTTGTTTTTAAGTTTTCAGGTTTTGGCTTTACCACCTGAGTGTCTCAAGCCTGGGACAGTCCAACATGGGAGTTCAGATTTCTCTTGTTGCATGCTGTTCCTGGTCGGTCAGTCACAGTGAGCCCTCAAACCATTCCCTATTTGTATCCTCACAGGTACTCTTCAAAAGTACTAAAAACAAGCAATCAGATGACAAGTCTTTTCTTCCACTAGAGATCTGCAGAGCTTGGCGTGATAAACTTTATACATCTGTAGGCAAGATTTAGAACTTACTCAGCTTACTGTCTTTTAAATCAACAGCCTGGGGAAATGGGATATTTATTTCTTTATTTTCTCATATTTTTGTAAAATCAGCAAAAAATGCAATAAAAATATATTTCAACAAAATCTCGTTTTTTTTTTCTTTCTCACATTAGATGTTTTATTTTCTGTGAAAAAAATTTATTTAAATCAAGCACGTTATACCTTGTGCTGTGACCTGTATTTTTCCACATCAGATAAACGCAGGTCACTGCACCGGTACATAGACAACAATGGTGCCTTGTTTACATCACATTGTTGTGCATGTGGCTTTAAAATGCAATCTATGCATATAAACACAACATACATGAACTCGTGTAAATGCGATGCAACTAAGCATAAATTATTGTGTGCATGGCGTTAAAATGCAACCTATGCATATAAACACTACATACATGAGCTCATGTAAATGCGATGCAACTGAGAGTAAAGATATACAAAAAATACATGAGGGGGGGATTTACTAAAACTGGTACAGCTCTGCAAAGAAACCAGTCGGCTTCTAGATTTTGTCAAAGCCTAAATGAAACTATAAAAAAAAAAAAGTGATACCCTGCGCAACAGTATTTTAAACACAATCCTAGAAAGCTGCTTCTCCGTACATGTGAAAACCACATCTAATAAATGAATAACAATAAGAGCTGCACTTATCCAATCATAATCCCTTATTTACATATATAAATCCAAATTACAAATATAAAGTGTTTTTACAATCGCATCTAAAGTGAGTGGTGCCCAAAAGTGCAAAAAAAAATTTGTGCTATATGTCTTCTTAAAAGAAAGAGACCTCTTAGCTCTGTGTGTTAGTGCCCCATGCCCTTCTGGGACCAAATTCACCAAAAGGTGCTGACCACCTGAGTTTACACTGAGGTAGGTAAAAGCACTGGATCACAGCCCCGCTGTGTGTGGCAATGTTTTAGGATCAATATACACAAATGTCTCATGCCCATACAAAAGAGGAATCAAACAGAAAGAATTCTCATAGCGTAATACTGTTTATTTTAACTAAAATCAGCAAAAGTCACTCTCACAATTTATGGTGCCCAACCTAGCACCCCAGAATCATCTATCAAAGCTCTATTCTCTGTCACTGCCACTCCAACCAGCATGGGAGCCGGCGAGCATTCCAAAAGGCGTAAGTGGTGCATGCACCAGAAGTTCCTGCCCCTACGCGTTTCACCACATCGGGACATCATCAGGAGGCGAAATTTAGTCATTTGGGTTAATATATGTAAATAATGGATTAGATAAGCGCAGCTCCTATTTTTATTCATTGAAGTTAGAATGTGACTGGTTACTATGCAGAGCTACACCAGATTCTGTTTGCACCAATTTTAGTAACCCCCCCATTAGTATTTTGAATCTTCCAGGGACCTGTCACTTCACAATGGATGACATGAAAATGCATGCCAATATGTACAAAAACACAATGTAACACAACCACACATGCATTGCAGTGGATTTTAATGTGCAGTATGGTAAGAAAGGCTCCTGAAACAAAAAGTATAATTCCTACTACACTTAACAACTTGTTGCAAGGAAGGACAGTGCCTTGAAAAAGTATTCGTACCCCTTGAAATTTTCCACATTTTGTCATGTTACAACCAAAAACTTAAATGTATTGTATTGGGGTTTTATGTGATAGACCAACACAAAATGGCACATAACTGTGAAGTGGAAGAAAAAGGATAAATGGTTTTCAACATTTTTCACAGATATTTTAAAAGTGTGGTGTGCATTTGTATTCAGCCCCCTTTACTCTGATACCCCTAACTAAAATCTAGTGGAACCAACTGCATTCAGAAGTCACCTAATTAGTAGAGTCCACCTGTGTGTAATTTAATCTCAGTATAAATACAACTGTTCTGTGAAGCCGTCAGAGGTTTGTTAGAGAACATTAGTGAACAAACGGCATCATGAAGGCCAAGGAACACACCAGACAGGTCAGGGATAAACATCTCACAGAGCACTGTTCAATCCTAAATTGCCAGGCCAGGCCAGGAGAGCATTAATCAGAGAAGCAGCCAAGAGGCCCATAGTAACTCTGGAGGAGCTGCAGAAATCCACAACTCAGGTGGGAGAATCTGTCCACAGGACAACTATTAGCCGTGCACTCCACAAATCTGGCCTTTATGGAAGAGTGGCAAGAAGAAAGCCATTGTTGAAAGAAAGGCATAAGAAGTCCCGTTTGAAGATTGCAAAAAGCCATGTGGGGGACACAGCAAACATATGGAAGAAGGTGCTCTGGTAAGATGAGACCAAAATTGAACTTTTTGATTTAAAAACAAAAAATGTATTGTGTGGCAGAAAACTTAACAGTGCACATCACCCTGAACACACCATCCCCACCGTGAAACATGGTGGCAGCATCATGTTGTGGAGATGCTTTTCTTCAGCAGGGACAGGGAAGCCGGTCAGAGTTGATGGGAAGATGGATGGAGCCAAATACAGGGCAATCTTAAAAGAAAACCTGTTAGAGTCTGCAAAAGACTTGAGACTGGGGCGGAGGTTCACCTTCTAGCAGGACAACGACCCTAAACATAGAGCCAGAGAGACAATGGAATGCTTTAGATCAAAGCATATTCATGTGTTAGAATGACCCATTAAAGTCCAGACCTAAATACAATTGAGAGTCTGTGGCAAGACTTGAAAATTGCTGTTCACAGACACTGCCCATCCAATCTGACAGAGCTTAAGCCATTTTGCAAAGAAGAATGGGCAAAAATGTCCCTCTCTAGCTGTGCAAAGCTGGTAGAGACATCCCTAAAAAGACTTGCGGCTTATTTATTTGTAAAAAAGTTTGAAAACCATTTATCATTTTCCTTCCACTTCACAATTATGTACCACTTTGTTGGTCTATCACATAAAATCCCAATAAAATAAATTTCCAGTTTTGATTGTAACATGACAAAATGTGTAAAATTTCAAGGGGTCTGAATACTTTATGTAAGCTGCAATTGTAGGTCCCTGACACAGGCACAGAGGTCTGTGTTTATGCGTCTGGGAGTGACATTCTGAGCACCTGTGGCCAGCAGCCTGTTTAAAAAACAATTATAGGCACAGCCAGACAACTAGTATTTCCAGAAGCAACTGGCGCATCACTATCAGCTGGATTTCTCTTGAGTAATAACAACAGGTACTCGCAATACAATATGTCAAACTATAACTTTTTTGTTTTTGTTTTAGAGCGGAGAAAAACTACAACTCATGCATACAAATACCCTTTTCTTCAGTGAAGTAGGGGCTGGAACCTCTGTCAACCTTTTATTTGTGTCCCCCATTGCAAATTTTCCTTCACTTCCTGTCTGGTGAAAGTGTCACAGTAACAATGAGTAAATCTCTCTTAAAGTGGTAGTAAACTCATTGGAAAAAAGAAAAAGTTTGCTGCTGCAAGGTAAAGTCATAATGTGCTAGTATGCATCATATACTGGCACCTTATGAAAGGCTTACCTTAGAATGAAGCCCTCCAGCGGCACGCTGTCACCATTTATGGTGCTTCCATCTTCACCTGGTCTTTTTTCCAGGTTCCCGGGCTGCAGCTGCTTGATGACCGAGCCACCGATGACGTCACTCCTGCGCATGTGCACGGGAGTTTTGGTCACGGCACACAGCTGTGAAAGAATGGCACAGGTATGCCGTTCCTTCAGAGCTCATGCACTGGTGATGTCACTGGCTGCAGCTCTGTAGAATATCTCCTAAACAGTGCGCTTTTAGGAGATATTCATTTTACTTCATCATAAAAATGGAAATGAGAGCTTACTAGCACTTTAATGGAGACCCAGGCAGCAGGCAATACTAAACAGGGCTTCTAATCCTTCTCTGCACTCTATCCTAAACTAAAGAAAAAAAAACTTGGCTGAAACTCAACTTTAACCAAGACGTGATAAAGGTAAATATAATCTGGTGATCTGCTTTGTGTGTCTCGGTATAGATTCATAATAAATGCCTTTTTGTTTAAATATGTACAGTAGCTTTTTGAAACTGAGGGTCAAGCAAAGAAGCCCATGCAGGACATTCGGTGCACTTTCAGAAAACGCACCAAAACTGCCCAACCTAATTGAATTATTTGGCAAAGTGCCCATAACCAACACAAAAAACACAGGTATACTACCAAATGCAGCAAAATCAGTGTAAACACCCCACACACACACTTGACCATGCTGCTGTCCAAAGGTGCCCCTGTGCTCCTTCAGCCAGAGCAGGGGTCTCCAAACTTTCTAAGCAAAGGGCCACTTTACTGTCCTTAAGACTTTAGGGGGGTCAAACTGTAGGCAGTGGGAGTAGGAAATGCCCCCGGCATCAGCACCCCATCATTGATTTTAATGGGAGGAGTAGTGCCCCATTGTTGATATCAGTGAGAAGAATAGTTCCCCATTGATGGTATCAATAGGGGGAATGGTGCTCCATCACTGGTGACAGTTGGTGGAATAGTGCCCCAAGGGTCAGATAAAAGCCTAAAAAGAAAACCAATGCAGCCACCACATCTAATGTCTAGTAAGCTGCAATATATAACTTTTATGGTTTGGTGTTTATTACTGCTTTAACCGCCTCCTGTCCGTTATATAAGGAAATGACGGGTGCAAGGCGGTTCTCTCTTTCTGGGAGGACGTCATATGACGTCCTCCCACTCTAACCACAAATGCGCAGATCCGGGGGAGCACAGCGCAGCGATTGGTGGTGCACTGTGTCTCTCAGACACAGCGGATCACCGATCAACGGAAAGAGCCAAAGACGTCGGCTCTGTCGTGTGATCAGCTGTGTCCAATCACAGCTGATCACATGTAAACGGAAATGACGGTTATCGGCATTTCTCTCCTCACGAGCTGCCATGCTGACAGCTCGAGAGGAGAGGAGAGCAGGTAATCGGCATTCCTCGGAGGGGACATGTACACTGATCATCAGGGCACTGATGATCAGTGTGCCCTGATGATCAGTGTAGCCCCATCAGTGCCAGCTGTCAGTGCCACATCAATGCCACATCTCAGTGCCTACCAGTGCACATCAATGTCACATATCAGTGCCCATCTGAGCTGCCTTTCCGTGCTGCCTAACAGTGCCAGTCAGTGCCGCCTAACAGTGTCAGTCAGTGCCGCCTATCGGTGCCATATATGAGTGCTGCCTTTCAGTGCCCATCAGTGATGCCTGTCAATGCCCATCAGTGTCACCTACCAGTGCCTCCTCATCAGTGCCCATCACTGCAGCCTCATTAGCGCACATCAGTCAAGGAGAAAGATCACTTATTTACAAAATTTCTTAACAGAAACTAAGGAAAAACTTTTTTTTTTTTCAAAATTTTCAGTGGTTTTTGGTTTGTTTAGCAAAAAATAAAAAAAACCCAGAGGTGATTAAATACCACCAAAAGAAAGCTCTATCTGTCACAAAAAAAATGTTAAAAATGTCATATGGGTACAGTGTTGCATGACCGCGCAATTGTCATTCAAAGTGTGACAGCGCTGAAAGCTGGAAATTGGCCTGGGCAGGAAGGGGGTATAAGTGCCCTGTAGGCAAGCGGTTAAATAGACCATGCAATATATATTCATTATGTAGCTTGTGTCCATTTTAAGAAACTTAAATCCTCACTCCAGATTTCTTTTCCCTTTAAACTAACCCAAACTATTTCTTTTACTAATAAATGCAGCCACAGTCAGCTTTGAGTAAACTGTATATAGCATCAAAATCAAGTCAAGCTGAGCACTGCACAGCAATTCACAGGAAGCCTTGTATTTTTTCTGGCTGAGGTAGATAGACACATGGATGACATCAGGATCTGCACTTCAGTCAATCAGAGGAGGCGTTGTAATCATTGATAAAAATACAAGGCTTCCTTTGAATGACTGAGCAGTTTTCAGCCCAACTCTACTTTGTTTCAGCAGCAGTGCTCTATACTATGTATAAACTACTGTTTATATCATTTAAATGCACTGCTTAGGTAGTAGGCCCTTGCACTACCCTAGTTGTTTGTAAATATAATAGGGATTAGGGTAGGGCTTCATGTTCGAGTTGAACATAGTTGTTTGTGTGTTCACCAAACACACAAACGGTAAGGGCATTCGGCAGCTCTTCGCCCACTGCGCCCTGACAGTGCATTCCAGATTCCGATAAGCCCCCCGCCCGCAGACCTCCACAACCACTGACCACGGTTGTGTGGAGGAGGCCCTTGTCTCATCAACATGAGGACAAAGTGCTTTGGGGCAGAGCAACCCCTGCCCCAAAGCACCCCCCCATGTTGAGGGCATGTGGCCTGGTGTTGTTCCGGTGGGGGGCTCGATTGCCCCTCCCCCCTTTTCTGACATGACAGGCTGCATGCTTGGATAAGGGTCTGGTATGGATTTTGGGGGAAACCCCATGCCATTTTTTATAAATTTTGCCACGGGGGTTCCCCTCAAAATCCATCCCAGACCTAAAGGGCTTGGTATGAATGGGGGAGGGGGGACCCCACACCATTTTTAAAAAAATGTTTTAATCGGCGGGCAATTCTTTTTGCATTCAGCTGTCAGCAGGGTATCCCGCTGACAGCTGAAACACTAACCCCTTGATGCCGAAGTCACACAAATATGCGGCCTCACGGAACTGGGCTTTTTTCCGTGGGGCTGCATATTTGCATACCTGTCTTTGCGACGCGCTCCCAGCACAAAGACCGCGGTGTCACTGAGAGCCCCGGGTCCCGTTCTAACGATCGGGACCCGGGACTCCCAATTCGGGTCACATGATCGCTGTGATAGCCTCTGATTGGCTATCACAGTGATCAGTCACTGTGCAGCCCGGCCCCCTTGCATTTTTTCTCTCTCTATGAATGGAGAAGAGAGATACATTGTATCTCTCTAACTCCTGGCATAGAGAGAAAAAAAATTTTTTGTAAAAAATATTAAAAAATAAAATAAAAATACCTGGATCAAGGTTTGATCTAGTTCAGTGCCAGGGTTAGTGTTTGGGTCAAGGTCAGGATTAAAAAAAAAAGAATTGGTGCCAGTGTCAATGTTAGTGTCAGTGTGTTTTAGGTTAAAAAAAAAAAAAAAAAAGACAAAAACAAAATGTGCACTATTTCTGGGTTGTACTACGGGTACAAACAACAAATAACATACACATATATGGTATTGCTGCGATCGTCAAGAGCTGGAGAATTTATTTTGGGTTGTTTTTTTGTGGTAGGCTATGGTCGTAACAAGAACCGCACAGCTAAATAAAAAAAAATATATTTTTTTTTTACTATCTTGGGCCAGTTTTCCTTTGATAATAAAAAAAAAAATCAGGAGATATCCATTACCATTTACCACCAAATGAAAGCCCAATTTATCCTGAAAAAAATCAAGGTATAATTCACCTGGATATACAAAGTAGTTCTGATGATATGTACGGTATTACTAACACATGTCAGCGTTGCAGAATTGTGCTTAGGCATTTATATTTGTTTTACCCTTAGGAGTGAAGGGGTTAAAGAATGTCTTCACTACTAAAATACCACGACTTAATAATATAACTCATGCAGTATTTTAGTAGCTGTGCGGTATCCTACCGTATACTAAGATACTGCTTAGTGAATTGTCCCTGTTGGAAGTTCGCACTTTCAGTGGGTTTGAATGTTCGACTGCGAACTGACCAGGGGGGTGTTCGGCCCATCACTAACAGGGATTATACAAAGAATGAGTGATCTAATATCCATGTAGCTTGTTAACCTAATGCCTAGTACACACAGAGTTTTTTTTTGTTCAACCCAGAGGGCTGAACAAAAAAAAAAATGAGAGGTCACTGTACTAGCTAAGTGATGTTGGTGTGGAGATCTCCCCCACTGAGCTATTGTGTTTCTGATAGGGGGACTGTGTCCCCTCCGTCAGAGCACACTGATCAGCGCTCGCAGCCATTGGCTTCAAGAGCTGATCAGATACTGGTTTTCTAGCATGCCTATTCGATAAAAGCCATTTATTAGACCGGCTTCTGTCAGACAGGCTGCTGTACACAGGGCCCACCAGCTGGTTTCTGTTGAACTGGCCAATATCCAGCCTTTAGGCTATTAGTGAAAAAAAAGCACAAAATTGATAACCATAAAATCTTTAGGTCCCACAGCAAAGAAAACCTGCAGGCCAGCCGAGGATATAAGCCCTCTCTACCCAGCATGCTTTGGTTTGTAGCAAACATTACCAAGAACAACGTAAAAAAATAGAGGGGTGGGACCTGTGCCCTTCAATGGATTCCAACAAAAGCATTTTACAGCGAGTACACCAGTTTCTTTATCATACATTAAAGGATCTTTGTCTTGGATGATTGGGTTATACGGCGCCTTCTGGTGATTGGACACTGACAAGCAAAGCTGTATGGACAACCCCAATGTAACCCCTCCCACTCCCAGCAAAGCTTAGTTTTCACTAATGTCCTTGGGTGTATGGACATCTCTCTGCTCTTAGAGAGGCAAACCTTCTTCTACTGTGTTTCCAAGCTGTTAAGTATACATTACGGATTTCCCTTTGCAGCTTTCTGAATGGGTTGACTACTTGACTGAGCCTTGGGGGACCATACTCGACCTTATTTTATGGAGCTTGTGCTTCCTTCCCTATTCGGAGTTGGTGGGAGCAGGAGATACATTGTGTTTCAGATGCCTTTTTGCTTCTGTTGTGCACCTTTAGCTCTTTCTCTGCAGTTGATCCGTGAGTAGCCCTTGTGGGTATTGTCTCACCAGCACGCCGTTTGTATAGCACCCTAAGGTGCCTTCATCACAAAACAGCTATTGACCCCTCCTGGTCTGCTGTCGGTCAGTGAGTTACCCTTTGCAGGTACTGTCTCACTCGCATACTGTATTTATGACGATCTTAAGAGTTCCAAAACAGCTATTAACCCCTTCTTCTCCACAACTGGTCAGTGAGTAATCCTTGCTGGTATTGGCTCACTTGCATACTGTTGTATGGCAGCCTATTGTGACCCAATCACAAATGGCCTTTAGCAGCTAGTGCTCTGCAGTTGGTGCTGACTCGCTTTCATAGTTTGTATAGGGGCTTAAGTTTTCCTAGCCAAATCAGCAATTTAACCCTTTCTTCTCTGCAGTCAGTCAGTGAGTAACTGTTTTTAAAACAGTCTCACTTGCACAATGTTGCGTGGTGGCCTGCATTGACATTTCCATGAGTAACCCTTGTGGGTATCGTCTCACATACTGTATGTATGGGGGCCTGGACATGGATGGCCTTGGATCCCTCCAGCTCTGCAGTTGGCCAGTAAGTAGGTACTGTCCCACTTTGCATACTGGTCGTATGGTGGCCTAGTCCCAGATAGCCATTTGTTACTTACTGGTACTGTCTCACTTGCATGCTGTTTTATGGTAAGCTTAGGTGGCCTAGTCACAATCAGCCATTAACCGCTTCAGATCAGCAGCTGGGTTATGAGTAACCCTTGATGGGAAAGTTTCATATATCTATGCTGATTCTGATAGCAGAGATTGGGGGCAGAATTTTGTCCTCTCCTCCAGAGTAAAAGTAATTGTTACTTAAGAAAAAAATCCTTTACAAACATGTCATACTTACCTGCTATGTGCAGTGGTTTTGCACAGAGCAGCCCTGATCCTCCTCTTCTGGGGGCCCCTGCCAGCGCTCCTGACTCCTCCCCCCTTCCGAGTGCCCCCATAGTGAGTGCTTGCTATGGGGTCATTTGTGTGGGTTCAATCCTTGACACACACAGCTTGGATCATCCCTGCCCCCCCACTTACTCTCTGTGATTAAAAGCAGCAGAAGCCAATGGCTCCCACTGCTGGCTCCATGTGCAGTGAAGACAGGGACTTCGCTGTTGCAAATGGAGCTCACACTCTGTTGCCAGGATAGGGGATGGTATTTATTTTAAATCCATACAAGATCTGACAGTGCACAAGTGGGGGACCATTAGGCTCTAAATTGCTCTGCAGATTCTCTGGAGTAGGCAACTTTTGCATATATATATCTTTCTATGGAGGATGCCTTTTGGCACACCCAAGATGATTTTTCTAAGGACATGCCTGTTATGGGTCCAGGACATCGTATTTAGTAGCTACAACCAGGAACTTCAGTTTCTGCTTTCATAACTGTGGAAATAGGGCCCCTTCTCATACTCCAGTGCAGCTCTTCTCTCAGGTGGTCATAGTCCTTGTTTTGGGAGAATGAGGTTTCTCGGTTTCTGCTCAAATCTGTTCACTGTTCCCGTGGCTAAAGGAAGCATCCACCACATGCTGCTTTTTAAGGTTCTACATACCTTCCTTGGGGGGCAAATTTTCTATGTGGAATCTTCCCACTCTGCTGACAATGCCTCCCTTCATTTGGGTGACCTCCTGGTCTCTGTTGACATCAAAGATGCTAGCGAATAGGTA